TCGTTTAGGGAGAGCGTAGGTTTATGGTGGAACTGTGTTTAGCCCAGTATAATAAGCTAGAAGGCAAAAGTGGGTGAAGAGTTAGATATTTATAAGAAAGATAGATAGGAAGAAGGGCGCAAGAGAATAATAAGAATGAAGTGATAAATAGACAATAATAAAGAGTGGATGGACCATTCGATTAATGTAATAAGAACAATAATTATAAGACGTGATCAGTGATCAATAAACAATTTAAGAGAGATTTAAGAATGATACAACGATGCAGTAATTAATTAAACAATAAACTGAAATGAGTCGATAATCGGTTAGGCGAAATGACATACAACGAATCAAATTTCAGTAATACAATAATACATAATCAGATAAGTGGGTGAATTCGATAACCGTGTATAAGTTGTCTTCGGCTTTGAAATGCCTACTAACTTATATTTATTGGTTTATTAGATAGATCGAAGCCTGAGAAAAAACTATATTAGAGCAAAAACGGAGGGACAAATAAGAATTCCCGCAGCATCTAACTTCCAGGCCGGACAACTTTCCTTTTTACTTTACGTGACATACGACTCAATGACAACAGTGCAAAGACGATATCGAGTCACTGAGACAAAATAACAAAATTTTTTTTTATACTCAAGCTATCACGCCACCTTAATCTCCAGCTAAAATCTTATCGTTATCTAACTCCCCACTAATTACATGCAGTATTAGGAAATAATGTAATTTTGATTGATAGAGATGACATGGTAACAATAAACATAAGATTGGTCAAACTATTTATGAAATAACAATAGGTTAAATATGGGTATAACGATAATAGGGATGATAATAATTAATAATGATGAGATAATGATAAAAGTAATAAGAAGAATAATAACGACAGATAAGAAAGGTAGCACGCGCAAGTGAGGTGATGAAAAATTTGAAGGGTAACACCGTTAAGCCAAATTCGACGTATTTTAATTAATGTCTGGGAGAGGATCTATAAGTTGTGCCAAAACCGAGAATCAGTCTTACAGACCTTTTTATTGGCGTTTAACGGGTCAACCGATGAATTGATCCGCTCATATTTACCCAGGTGGATATGAATCCAATTCATATTTGATTCATCCGGATTGACCCGGATGTATCTGAGCCGGTTCCAAACACTACTAAAGGCAGTCATGAGTGACACTTAGCGCGGCAGGGAACTTTTTTTTTTTTAAAAAAAAAAAAAAAAATTGTTAATAAAATTGTCCATTTACAAATGTTTAAATTATTTAAACATAGCGATAGAATGTATATTTAGACTTCTAAGTTTCAATTATATACGCAGCTTTTATCGATAATAGCCGATAACGCACCTAATATTACAGATTTCTTAATATCAAATTAAGATCAATGACTCCATAGACTTTTGACCCTGACCGATTTATAATTCTGAACTATTGTATTGTGTGAACAAGACATTCTATTATCGACACCATAGATGAGTACTCGAGAGGAAAACCGTTAAGTAAAAAGTTTATTCCCTGAAAAATTGTGATCTTACGTAATTAATCACTTATACGATCAGTATTAACGTCTAAATTATGGATGTTATCCTGCTTAAAATGCTTAAATCGGCTTAATGGGGGTTTCAGAATTAATGTGCAAAAATCTAATTTTGACGGAAATAGATAACGTATTTATATTCAAATGAGCGATGTATCGACTTTATTTCATTTTCCAATAAGTTTGAAATAATGATTTCCGAAATACGCTATTTTTTTTTTAATTCTGAAATCCCTTAATGAAAATTTTCATTATTACTATGATTGCTTTTTTGATATGTGACTAATTAAACTTATTCATAATGCTTTTATTTTTAAGAAATATTACTTCATTAATTGCAGTAAGTAATTTAATTCAGTATGTAGATATTACCATTTTGCTTAAAACTAATCGGAAGCAATTATTTATTTCGAGCATGATTTTTTAATTATTTGCTACTAATTAAACTTGTTATTAATATCTTTTAAATAAAGTTTCTTGTTATAAAAATTAATCTTATCTATTTTTAATAAAACTATTTTATATTACACGAAACAGGATAAAACCCCTAATAATATTGCCGCACGTAAGATCACAATTATTCAGGAGATCTATATCTCAAAATTTTGACTATGAAACCCCCATCGAGGGCATTAAGTAAAAATATTCCTTGCTAAATTTTACTATAAACTATGTTTACCCTACCTTGATTTTAAAGAAATTAAAAAATTTCGGCATAATAAATCTTATGTTATATTAATTATTAGAGGCACCAAATGCATGAGCACATTTAACATTTCTCTATAATGAAACAATCTAAATTATTGTTGGTGTTAAATTAGACGTTAATTACATCGCTCTCCTAACACAATAATAATAATATGCATATACAAGTCCCGCATCTATTTCATTTTATATACTAATTTTAAAACACTTTAGTAGATCCGGGTCTAGTACATGCTGTGAGGTTATATCATGAAATAAAAAATTTAAAATGCATACACATTTTTTATTTATAATAGGAGTCTAGCTAAATGAAAAAACCATATATGATTAATAAAGATTTCGCGCTTCGCACTCGGGTGTGGGTCTACTATTTTGAGGGATCTCCTATGTACGCTTTTACGGTAATATCGATACAGGAATCAAAATAATCTTATACCAATATAAAGTATTAATAAATAATATCCTGAGCGTATGTGTGCATGTAGAAATGAAGTTTCCTCTGTGCATATATCTCCGAAGCGTTTAAATTGTGTGCCTCTAACACCCTGGCGTTATTTCGCATTAATGGGTACATCCAGAATAAAGTATGATTATTACTAAAATAAAATTAAAACTGACTAAGTTACTGAATATATATATTAAATTTCTTTATTCTCAAAGTGGTTGAAACCAATAAATACCACCTATGAAGGCAGTTAAACATTTATTGATAGTTTTGAGTTTATAAGTTAGCCTTTGAACATGAAAATTACATTTCTATATTTTTTAATAATCACAATAGGCGGCGTTCTATACGACGCGGTGGCTCAAGGTAATTGATTGCTTTAAAGAAAATTCTCGTGTTCACGATCTAAATGTCATTTATTTTTAAAATTCTTAATATAGCTGATTCCTCTATAATAGGAGAATGGAAAGAGATCAAAAAGTATATACCATAAATTTTTAAAAGGTTGACTAGCTTTTAACCATTTTTTCGTTATTTCCTAGAACTATAGTAGGGGCTATGCATCTTGCTTTAGTTCGGCCCACAAAAATTATTCTCATTGATAAAGGTATTTATTAGTTGCAGTTAGGTAAAAATTGGAACAGGTCAAAAAAAAAAAAAAAAATTATGCCTGGTCAAACTGCCAGTCAAATCATGACATTAGCGATGTTACCTAAACCATTCGGACATCCCACAATTCGGCGGATTTTTGGAATTGACCTTTATCCAAAATCTCAATTATTTCTAGAAATTAGACCCTTATTTGAAAATTGTGGTTCATAGTTATATCAAGTCCAATATGTAATAATTGGAACTTGAATTTAAAATTCAAATCTACCAAAGTTGATACTATATGGGGATTTAAATAATGGCCAAATTCCTTAAATCAGCTGAATTGAAACTGTGATTAATAATACGTATCATCTTAAATATTTACTGCCTTATTGTTATTGCTGAAACCATGGGATACTATTCATCATAAAATTTGAACAGAAAACCAATATTCTTTAGCCAAGCAAAATATGATTACTAATATACGATGATTTAAGATAATTATCAAATAATATTTTTAATTATTAAAGTCCAAAAAGCACCTTAAATCGAATCCATTTACAACAAAAGCGTTTTCTATTAATTAGCTCTTAATTAATCACAATTGTTATAACCGATTAATCAGTAAATGATTAAACGACTCCAATCTTTAATCATTGTGTTTAACTAAGCATTTAATAATTGACATTTTTAATTTTTAAATTTTGCAAAATAGCTGGAAAGAATCCTGAAGCAGTGTACCCTGATGGACGTTATGCATACTCTGTAGAGTATGATTTAACTACAGGCAATAGTCGTATTCTTAGCTTAAAAACAAATACTTTTTGTTCTGCTGGGTCTTTCTTTGA